GGATAACCTATTGACTCATGTTCAAATCCTGACACCACTCAGCCCTTGTGGCCATGGAGGTTCGCCTGCAGTGACTCCAGGGCATGAGGCAAAGCTTTATGTTTGCAGCGGGGGATTAGTCGGTGCGCGAAAGCTGGCCCGGAAACCCTCGTTAGGGAAGTTCCCTTTCCAAAAAAAACCATAACGGTATAATTCAAATATGATAGTGATAGGAATGATATAATCGATGTGGGTTATAAAAATTTTCATAAAGGCTCGATTGATTCAACAATTAGATTATCAGTTGTGTTTGGTATAGAAAAATTAAATTGAAGCAATAAATGGAAATGCATAAAAAAATTAATAAGTTCAAGAAAGAGAAATGAATCGTTGTTTGGTATAATAGAGTATCCATTGAATAAATGATAATGAAAATTAATTCTCTTGTTTGGTTGAACTAAATAATCAAATCAAATAGAAATGAACTTTGTTTATAATATTTATCACTTTCAAATAACATTATTTTATAATAATATAATTACATATTTTCTACATTTTTAATTAATTATTTTGTCATTTCTTTTTTCCAAGTTATTGTTTATAACTATCAATCAACATTTTTATATATGTAACTTTAATTTTATAAGAAATATATTGTATTGAAAAACATGATTCTCATATAAAAAAGATAATTTACAAAAAAAAAAAAATCAAATATAAATAATTCTCAACATTATATTTTTAAAGAAATGTTTCATATTCCTACTTCTCTTATTCGATATTGAGACTCTCAAGTAGAGTTGACAATGGATCGATCTAGGTTGGGTTTGTGTTCAACCTATTTATTAATTGGGTTGAAAATTTCAATTCAGTATAACCTGTTTATTTAAATGAGTTGATATTTCCAACCCGATCCAACATTTCAAATAAATGGGTTGTCAACGGGTTGACCCGTTTATGTAGTTTCTAACCTAACCTATTAAATAAATTGGTTAAATTTAGATTGACATATTTAAAATAAAAATAAATAAATTAATTAACTAAAGATTACACAACTTAAAATAGTTAGAAACTTAAATAAAATTTCAAAGTATGACAAAAACACAATTTTAATTCTAATATACAAATACAATTATCAAATAACATTAAAGTTATGTAATTTCTAAATGATTTTTTAGAGTGATTGACTGTGTTAAGAAAAAAGTTAGGAATTAGTGTTCAATATTTTTAAAACATAAATAATAATACGAACTTTGTAATTTGTAAAATAATACTTAGATCAATACAATGATAATATTTAAATAATTATTAGATTAAATATAAATTAAAGTTAAATGGAATGGTGGGTTGAAAACAGGTTGATACTTTTTACTTGTCCAGTCTATTTATTTAAATGGGTTAGACAGGTTGATCCGTTTAACTTAAATGTGTTGAAAATCTCAAACCAACCTGATAATTTTGGGTTGGGTTCAGATTGAATTGATGGGTTAGATCGATTATTGTCAGCTCTACTGGCAAATTAGTATATAAAAAAGTTAAAAACAACCAAAAAGTTCGAAATAAAATGGACAAAAATGACATAGCCATGCTAGGTTCACACATAAAACCATTATTTGGTTGTTCATGATCCCAAAAATTTATTGTCTTTTCAAGTAAAGCAAGTATAAATGGATTAGATCAATAAACAATTAAGTAAAACAATTATACATCATCATTCAATTCCAGAAGATTTCAATGACATTTCATCAAACACCTTATAGGCTATAAAACTCTATAAAAAACAGACGAGGAACCAATTTAAAACAACAAATCTCTCCCTAAACTACTTCTTATTATCTTCCATCATATACTTCAAATTTTTATTTATCATCGAAAGATTCAAGTACATCAAATCCCACACTATATTATCGCAAAACTAATGATCTTTTGTTCACGAATCTTGTTGGCTGCCAAATCCTATAAGAATATGTAAAAAACAATGGCAACTAATGAGTGTTTCAATTGGTATGTGTTATTGTTGTATCAATGAGTAAAAATCAATTTTGATCGATGAATAAAAAACAATTTCACTAAATGAGTGTTTACCTTTTGAGAGGAAAGAGTTGTATGCGAATCGATAGTGTAATCTGACTCGATTAATGTTCCTAAATCGATTTTCTCTTTCAAAATCAACTGAGTAATCGCCAAAATCGTAGGAGCACTGAAGTGAAATCCGATGAGAGATGGAGTAAAGAGAAAGGTTCGAACTTGGAAGGTGAATGTGCAACCTTCAATTTACTTATCCATTTTTTTCCTAATTTATGGGTGCTAATAATTATCATTTCTCCTCGTTTCTTCACAAAATTTAAAGAATAAAATAGGTGGAAAGGGAATAACTTTTTTCTTTCTCATTTATCTTTTTTTAGTTGTAAACCAAACTATTTATTTTTAACTATAAGTATTCTTTGAAGACGAGCATGGGCTAATGAAACATGAGTATCAAATTGTAGTTGAAATTTGTCAAAGTAAATAGGAATAAAAAGTAGATGTGGGTAAGAAAGTATATAGGAATAAAAAGTAGGAGTATTTAATTTCTCTAGGTTTATCTATAGACAAAATTGCAAATTTGGTCCCTGTGGTATGTCCAAACTAGCATGTTTGGTCGAAAATGGGTTTGGCTTGCAAAGATGGTCCAATAGTTTCTATTTGTTGCGAGTTTAGTCCAATGACTTAACAGCCGTTACCAAGCTCCCGTTAATTTACCCATGCCCCTCTCACTTAAGGGTATTTTAGTCCATTCATCTAGCCCCTTTATTATTTTATTATTATTTAGTCCATAAAGAGACTACAACGTCTCTATTCTCGTCTCCAGCAACAAGCCCTAACTATCACTCCCTCTCTGATTTCATCTTCTCCATCGATCACCCCCCTGTGATTTCATCTTCTCCATCGACAATGGTGATGTGCGTCTGCAGAAAGTGGGCGATAGTTTGGACATCGTGGACAGATAACAACCCAGGGCGCCGATTTTGGGGATGTCCTAACCCGGTAAGTGTGTTAAACTTTATTTTGAAGACTACTCCATGATGATCTAATGTTTCTTTCTTCTTTTTTTCAAGAATTCACCATGTGGGTTTATTGGGTGGTATGATGAACCCATGTGTGCTCGTTCCAAAGTTATAATACCAGGGCTGCTTAGGACAATCAATAAGCTACGAAAAGCAATGGATGATATAAAAGAACAAGCAAGCAAGCATGAAAAAGCAATGGAGAAGATCAAAGAACAAGCAACTATGTTGAAGTATTACCTAGTCTATAGTTGGATTTTTTTTGTTGTTGTGTTGCTGTTCTTGTTGTAAGTCCACAGGTTGATTGTGGTTATCTTTTGTAATAGGATAGGGGTATATGTGTCTGGTTTAAGTATTTTTTTGCTAATGTGGAACATTGTTGTAATGCAAAGTAATGGTTAATGAAAATTTGGTATCTATTGACCAATTATGGATTTGTTCTATTGTTCATACATAACCTTCTAAAGATAACATATAATGCATCCATATATAGTTAACACAAAATCATACTAAAGACATAATACCTATTACCATCTTCAAAATACATGTCATAAGTTAATTGAAAACAAAGTTATTGCAACAAAAGACATCCTGCATCTAGGAATCAAACCAAAGTTGTTCAATACAGTCAAACCAAAAGATAAAACCAACATAGACCATCAAGTCCCTCCCTGACCTTTGCATGTCCTGGAGTTGTGCCCTTTGTTTCCACACTTATTACAAGTCACACTAACAAACTTTCTTGTTAGTTTCCCACTACCATATGGACCATGACCATGAATCTCACTGGGACCAACATCTGACCTTTAACTCTGACTTTGACTCTTGCTTTGACTTTTCTCCTCCATGGATTGCCTTCTCTTCCTCTTGGGTCTCCCAGGTTGATTACGGCGTGGGGGAGGTGTGATCTGCATTGGACACTCACTTCTAGGCCACAGTGCCCGACCTTTAATTGGTTCCACCTTGTACCCATATGCAGTTTTCCAAGTTTGTAGCCAGTGCACCTTGTGGACATAAGTATGGAGCTCCTGTACACACTCACCATGATCTGCTTTGTTATACAACACAGAAATCACATGTCTGCAAGGGATACCTGTTAATTCCCATTTCCTGCAGATGCATACCCTTTCATGCATATCAACAACATGTTGATCATTCCATAGGCCTTTGACTTGGTATTTTTCATCACCACACCATTCTGCAATGTACTGAGTAGCAGCTGCTTCATTCTTCTCCATGATCTTTGTTGCTATTGAGGTGAGTGGGCCTAAACACTTTTGTTGCACCTTGAGGACATTGCATATCCTCTTCATCATATATTCCCTAATAAACTCCAAGCAGCTAATAATTGGTTTGTCTCTCCCATCAACTAGCTTGCCATTAAACACCTCACAAAGGTTGTTTAACAACATGTCTGTGGTTGCTCTCCCTGTATAGAAAAGGGTAAAAGTGTCATAATGTTATGTGAAGGGTAAAATGGTAAAAGGGTAAAAGGGTCATAATAGCTTACCTGTGAAATGGCTTCTTGCCCAATGTTGTGGTGGTATTGACTTCAACCATTCATATGCTGATTTATCATATAAACTGAACTAGATTAAAACCCGCGTTAAACGCGGGAACATATTTAAAAACATTGAATTGTAAACTTATATTACATCATAGGAAGCATGACAATTAAAAGTAGTTTACCATAGCTATTTTAAATTCATTAACATACATTATAATAGCTATTTTAATTTCATAACAATTAAAACAATAAATAAAAAAAAAGTAATAAATCATAGAATAATATAAAATCTTAAAATAGTTCATTACAATAAAAACAACTATGTTCGAATGCAAATTAAAATATATATAATCAGTAATATCGACCTGGCATAGTCACTGTATCAAAATCAGAACGGATTGAAAAAACTTGTTGAGAATGATGTGCCGGAGTACCATTATCATTTATATATGAGACAGTTACCAACCTTATTTGAGACAGTTACCAACCTTATTTGGCTTGTTAACAGGAGTACCATTATCATTTATATGATCATGTTGATGATTTGATGACCTTTTTGTCACCTCATCAAGAACCCTTTCATCATCGGTTAACTTATGCACAGTGTAAGCACGATAGTTGTTCTGCAGATTGAACATGGAAATCTGAACTTTGAAGACAAACTTCTTATTTAGAAGAATTTTGAACTCATCAGGTATCTGTTGTCAGCCTTGATCCTAATTTACATTATAAAATGTTTGGAAAAGTTAAAGAATAAAAATCATATATGTCAATCATTTAAATAACGGAGATACTTTATGAAACCTTAGCTATTTTGTCCATCAACCATTGGTTTCCATGATGAATAAGATCTTTTACATGACGCTCAAACAATACAAACGAAGAAGAGCCACTTTCATCTTGCACACAAACTACTATCCTAATCCTAGAAGTTATAACATAGTACTTATATTTAGCTTGACATACACAATGAAATATATGAAAATTGTAAAATACATGCATAGTCTTCGAGATAATAATTACTTACTTTCCAAATACATCCGAGACAAATCCACAACCATCACAGTGAAAATGGCCAGCATCAACATCATCATGATTTTTAGTAACTTTTTTAGAACAATCACGACAATAAAATGAATACCAACCATCATCCATATCAAAACCAATAATAGTAGCGATAATGGTTAAACCAACTTCCTGTTTCATATATAGGAGAAAAAAGGAATCATATTAAAATATTATTTCATATAAATTGTAGATATAAAATCAAAACAATAATAGAATGCGGAAACTGTTATATAAAAATGTTAAGTAAACCTCATTAAAATCAGGAATTTCATCAATGTTTTTTATCTGAAAACGGAGGTAGTAATCCTCTGGATTAGCCACAACGGTATCTGAGTTGAGCTGGGATGTACGGCTAGAAGACTCAACATTTGTATCCAAAGCATTAATTCTACATAAACAAATAGTGAAGTTATTCAACAAAAGTAATGATTTAGTAAGATAAATGTGTTAAAAATGTTAAATAACATACTTTGATTTGAACTCCAAAATCTGAGGCATATCATCATTTATATGCAATCTAGACCCAAACAAACAATTACCAACTTGAGGCTGACCTGCAAGAAAAAAGAAAATTAATATTGTCAGTAATTACTTTGAAGTTGAAATGATAATTTGTTGTAAAAAACACTTACCACCCCAAATTTTGAGTTTGGCCAAACGTAGCAGGATAATAACAGGAGCAGTGTCATTATTATGTTGTGAAATGTAAGTATTCAACTTCATTGCAAAACTGCCCCACAAAGCGACTGCAATTCTCGTACCACTAAATATGCATGGTGGTTATTAATGAAAGATAAATATAAACGGGGGAATGTGTAATAATAATACGAATGTGTACCTTAAATCCTGAGCAACCAGATTCATTAACCTTTTCTCTCTTCCATACTCAACAATGACTCGCATGGGATCACTTGACACAACTTCACCTAGAAAATCTATGTGAAAAAATTTAATAAATTAGTAATAATAACCCAAATGTGTATTACATTAAAAATTGAAGTATAGAAATAAGTTAAACTAACAACATAACATACCAAATGCAACACGAGTGTCAAAGTTCCTGGCTAGCAAATCTGGGAAAGAGATAAAATGATAAGGATCTACTGTATCAACAAAATCATTGGATACACGAACTTTCGTGGTTTTGTAGAAATTGATTTTATGTTTATGAGGTACAAGCATGTATTCGCTTTGATTGCTAGCCATAGCGAAGTTACTGATCTCCCGGACAGCTCCTTCATCGAATAGGGATTCAAATACTGGAATAAGATTTTTTTTTATTGTAGCTTGAATTCTACTTCCCTGTAGGTGACAATGAAAGATAAAAAAGTGCAAAAAATGTATTAAAAAACGGAACAATAACAGATTTCATTACATAGACTAAACTTTATTATTAAAAATAATAAAGTTGTTTATTAAAATTGTATGAATAGAAGTAAAAAAGTATAACATCTCTCGAATTTCAACTTTTTTTGAATAGAGATAACATAAGAAATTGATAATTTTAAAAAACAAATGGTGTAAAAACAGTACCTCCTGGTCGATTAAAATCATGTCCAGGCTTGTGACCATATTAGGATTGTTTACATAGGTCGGCTTCCAAAGCATGACGACTTTAACACGTATGTTCCAAGACTCTTTAGATGCGTTGATTTCAACAACCTTATCAAAGACGACCTGATCTGCATTGTTATATGCCATGGAATACTATTATCTGCAATGGAAGGGGATAATTGTTTAGAGAGAATTTTGATTTGTAATGAAAAATCGTAGACAGTATATTTATAGGGAAAAAAATTGGTTAATGCTGATATCACATAAACATTTTAGAATGTAATATCACTTCCATACTTAAGATATGTTTTAATTATGGTATGATATCCAAAATGATATCAGTATATCATGTCAAATATAAATATAAAAATAATAAATTCATACCATATTTAAGATAATATTTACCATATAAAAAACTGTAAATTTGAAAAGTTTGAAGAATAAGGAAATTATATAATAAATATACAATATTTTCATAAATATGGTATGATATCGAAAATAAACTCAATATAAGATGTTTAATATATTTAGAAAATATAGGAAAATATATATTTGGTTAATGCTGATATGAAATAAAGATTATGGAATGTAATATCATGTCCATACTTAAAAGATGTTTTATATACGGTATGATATCCTAAATAATATCAGTATACCATCTCAAATATAAGTAGACAAATAGATAAAATCATAGTATCATTTAAAATAGAATAATTACTATATAAAAAACTGTAAATTTGAAAAGTTTGTAGAATAAGGAAAAAATATAATAAATATATACCATATTTAAGATAATATTTTTACCATATAAAAAACTATAAATTTGAAAAGGTTGTAGTATAAGGAAATTATATAACAAAATCATACTATCATGTACTATATAATAATTACCATACGAATATCTCTTTGAAAACATTTTAGAAAGAGGCATAGTTAATTAATTACATCATACAAGTTGAGGTTGTAGCCTCTTGCCCTTCTTTATGGTAAGAATATGTCATCACCTTATAAACATCTCTTTGGATTGCTTTCGACAAATAATTCAGAAAGAAAAACATATTTTATTTAAAGGAACACTCATACTATTATTGATCGGTGTTGCGACAACGAATAGTACTATCATGGTGACATTGAGACTTTGGTTAGGAAAGACCCTTCTTTCCAAAAAAACAACAACACGATAAGATATATGTTTATTTATATAAAATTAATTCACTTGTTTGAGATTGGATGAAACGGGTTAAGTAAACTTAAAACCAAAACTACTATTATTTTGTTTAGCGTTCAAATGTATCATTTGGTAGGTTAAGTACTATTAAAAATTAGTTACATATAACAAACAAAAATTTAAAAAAAATGTAAGGTGACAAAACAACGTATGCGTATATTTCTTGGATAATTACATTTTGTGTGAAGTTAAAAAGGTATTCAAATTATTAGCATTACCTCCAATTTAGCTTTAAAAAGGTCAAGTGCAGGTCCAGTCCTACTAAGATGTGGGATCATGTCCACACCAAACATACCCTCTAATTGTCATGCCTTATGCAGCTGCACCTTTTCTGACAGCATCCACAACCACAGCAAGTGAAATGTACAAGAAAGTGACATGTAGATTGGGTTGGTAAACCTGAAGGTAACAGTGGTCACTGTAGGGTTTTGCATTTTCTTGAGACTCAAGAGGGCAATACTGCCTTTCGGTCTGTTTAAGATGCAAATGAAAGCACATTACATAAGTGCAGGATGCAGTAAACCCACCATGAAAGTGCAATGGTTGTGAGAGCACAAATGCTTACAGGAATAATAACAGACTAAGAGTAGCCATGAAGACGACAATCAAATACCTGTCACATAAATAAGCAGAAATGAGCATACCATTGACCCAATCTAACCAACAGTAACCAAAAAGCACCCAGAAGTACCAAACATCGCCGAAAAAAGAGATTATCAAGAGAATCTAAGGAAGCACTAAGGCTTTTGTCCAAAGATATGTTCCTATGATGCTCATGGTCTGTATAAGTACACACATCTCGGTTTACTTTCTCTTCTTCTTCTTTTGTCTTCGGCATGATATATGCCTCCTACATCACAGAAGAAGCACGGAAAGAGAATATTATTAGAACCAAGTATATGGAAGAGTAGTAGATTTCTGAAGTATTGGAATTTGATAAAGGTGGGATTGGAAAGAACCTAAAAAATCTATGTCAAAATTACAAAAAATGTCAATGAAAGAGTTCGAATCAATTAAATTCCGAGAAATTCGCAGACCAATTGAAGATAACTTACCTTAATGAAGTCGCAGATGCTTGAACGGATTGAACACTATTCTTCGAAATCCCTGAATTGGGTATCTGCAAGTTCCAGTTCTTCCACATTGGAGGACGAAACAGAGTGATCGGTCTACAAGATTTAGACAAAGAAGTAGAAGCGAACGGATTGACTGTTTCTTAAGATAGGAAGAAGAGACAGAGTAAACGACAAACGAAAGGGAACATTACACAACGGGGTATTGGGTGGAAGGAAGATGACGTGAGCAAATGATCCAAAGGTCTAGAATATAAGATTGAAATGCATTGAATGGCCCTGATAAGATATATGTTTATTTATATAAAATTAATTCACTTGTTTGAGATTGGAAGAAGCGCTTGAAGTTCCTGTAATCAATGAAAGATATTTGCAGATCGATACATTAATAAACCTGTGTAAGTGATAAAGAGAGGCCTGAGAAAAGGAGATCGCTTACACGGCGGAGGAGGTGTCCGGCGAATTCAAGAGAAAATAATTGAGAAGTGGAGAATCTGATGGAGAAATAAGAGAAGAAGGTGAGGAAATGGAGGAGATAATAGGGCTCCGACACCATGGCGAACAGTATGTTCATTGTTATATCGTAATACTGAGTGCGATCAACATCGGATTCACCATTATTGGTGTTCTTCCCTTTCTTCCCCATGATTCCTAGGGTTTTCCTATAGCCGGAAGTGGGGGTTTCTGCTAAATCAGCCGCTGTAAATCTCTGATTTGATTTGGAAGGTTAATAAGCAGCATCTTTTACCTTTATTTAGCCATGGCTGAGAGATAATTTATAACATAATCACAGATTCGATTGACGCAATCAAGCCTTCAAGAATCGACTATGTTGATGCCTGCACCGATATTCTTGTTGAGAAAATCGATTCCATGTATTAGGAATGAATCGTTAGAAAGTATTTTTATTTGTAGGCTTGTGAATTTATTTTTGGGTGAGGATGATGTCAACAAAATGATCCTAAGGTGGAGATTAAAGGAGGAAAATGCAATCAAGGGTTGATGTTTCTTCATTGAAGAATTTAAGGTTTTGTTTTAGTAATATTTAGAGATTGGTGCATGAAATGGTTAAACTCTGGCACTGTTGTAGCTGTGGCACAATCCCAAAGGTGATCTTTATATTCCTTAGTTCTCCATTGTTTCTTCATGTTCTCATGTATATGTCTGAGACAGAACCTATGCTCAGCACATGGGAACAGTTGACTAACTGCTTGTAGCAAACCCTGGCAACAAATTACACATGATTAACAAAATAAACATTAAAAATAATAAATAAACAACCATTACCTTTTGTCTGTCACTAACAAAAGTGAAATTAGACATAGCATGTAGATCCAAGTCATCACCAAGACATTCAAGGAACCACTTCCAAGATTCGCAGTTTTCAATCTCTACGATGACATATGCAAGTGGGTATATGCCATTGTTGGAATCTAATCCAACTGCAGTTAAGATCTGGCCTGGATAAGGGCCTTTCATATGAGCCCCATCTAGCCCCAAGAAATCTCTTAAACAAGCTTTGAATCCCTTCTTCATCCCCCCTAGACAAACATAAATTCTTTTGAAACATCTTGAAGTGCAATTCACCAAATTAGATTCTGAAACATCTCCAAGTTCTAATTTGACTGTGGTATCAGGATTGGTTGACTGCAACTCAAGGATATAGTCTCTCAGAACTTCATACTGTTTTTTGTAATCACCCACTACAATCTTTTTTGCATCTGCTTTAGCTTTAAAAACTTTATGGATTGAGAAGTCCACTCCATACTTCTTCTGTAATTGTTCTTGGAGAGCTTTAACTGGGATAGTAGGGTTGGATTCTACTTGATCCATGATTTGTTTGGACATAAACTTCGCTGTTGCAGCTCTCACCTTCCTTGTATTCATACAAGTGTGTTTGTCTTCATATGTTTTAATGTACCAACTGCTTGCATCTGTAGACCTCGAGGCATGTAACATCCAAGGACAAGAAGAATCTGCTTTTTCCTGACTTGTACCACCTTGTTTGTCCTTTTCTTTACTTTTCCATTTACTTTTCCCTTTAATTTTCCCTTTACTTTTTTTAGCTTGGGTAGGTCCACCAACTCCATCATTAGTAAATGCCACAACTCCATTACATATGGCCCTCAATCTGGATTTGTCATTTTTTTTAAATGCAATATTCTTTTTTGTTTCCAATGCATGTATTTTGATTTTCTCTCTCAACTCCTGCTTACTGTTATACTTTTGACCTATTTTAAAATGACACTTATGAACCTCACCTAAAGAACAACTTTTTTCCTTACTTAGTTGTTTCAAAACTGCTCTTCTCTTCCTGTCCTGGTCAGAATCCTCATCCATGGAATCAAAAGCATCATTGTCAATGACATCTAACTCATCTGCTTCTTCATCACTCTCATGTTGTCTAGGATTCCTAGCCCTTTTATCTAAGAACTCTACTTCTGTATCAATGCTCATGTTAAAATCCCTCATATCAACTTCAATATCTTCAATTACATTATCTTCATCCACCCAATAATCACTATCATCACTATCATCTTCCTGCTCTGTTTCACTTCTTTCTTTACTTTCAACCTCACTTACATTTTCTTTTCCACTACTATCCATGTTAGACTGAGGTTGGTTTTCACTTCCATCTTGGACAAAAGCATCAGTTTGATAGTCAAAATCCCAAAAGTCATTCATTTGAGGTTGGTTTTCTTCATCCATCTGAGCTTGGTTTTCTTCATCCATTTGAGGTTGGATTTCTTCATCCATCTGAGGTTCATTGACATCATGCATGTCAGTGCCATTGACTCCATCAACATTGCTTTGTAGTATTTGTTGGTAGAGTCCAATATCAAAATCAGTAGCTGCCTCAACAAAGTCTTTGGCTATCTGTTCAGTCTCACCAATATCATCAAAGTATATTTTCTTACTGCAAGATGCCATCACTCCATCCTTGCTCATACCCCTTCTCCTATTATATCCAGGTGATAAGGATACGACTTGAACTATTTCATTAACTTGGATTTCAGGTTGGTTTGCTTGAGTGGGCACCACATCAACTAAATTATCAGTAGGTGTAGTCATCACAGGTGTTTCCTTTGATTGGTCATCAGGAGCTTCATCAATGTGTTGCACATCCTCATGTGGTTCATCTAACTGTACAAGGGTAACCTTGGTAACAGGCTTAGGATTCAAGAAATAGGTGAGTAGTCTTGTTTCACCATGCTCTGTGTATACCTTCATCACTTTGTGCTCACTGACATATTGAGAAAAGTTTGCAACATCTTGATCATTTCCTAAAGGGCGAAGACCAAAGTGGAAGTCTCCACCAGGCACAAGAAAATGGTAGTATATAACAGGAGGAACCCCATATCTAAAACCCTTCATGATTGCATCGAGCTCATGAACTGAAAACTCATCTATGTCTACCATGTCAACATAGTTTACAGTTCCATCAATGTAACGAACATCAGGGTACTTGGTGAACTCACCTCCATGGTACAACTTAATGGTAAACAATGTTGGGTGTCCATCTTCAAAACAAGAAAAAAAAAACACCTCATTTGGACTTACTTAAAAAAAATCAAGAAATCAAAAGATGAAAAAGGGCAAATTACGTACCATAAACAACCTTGGGGTTGAAGGGTGTGTTTAACAACCTTACGTGCCACATTGTTATGTTCATCCACCGATAATCTCTACAAATCGCAGCTTAACTAACAGAACTGATTTTGTGTCTAGGGCTTTTATTGATCTTGGTAAAGAACGACGATCTACTTTATTGAGGAGGAGACGAACTGCTTTTATTGAGCTTTAGCGGGAACAAGTTACAGGGATTAATGGACTAAAATACCCTTAAGTGAGAGGGGCATGGGTAAATTAAGGGGAGCTTGGTAACGGCTGTTAAGCCATTGGACTAAACTCGCAACAAATAGAAACTATTGGACCATCTTTGCAAGCCAAACTCATTTTGGACCAAACATGCTAGTTTGGACATACCACAGGGACCAAATTTGCAATTTTGTAATATTTATAATAAATGCAAAATAAAATATTGATTAAATTACATCATTAAAATGTCGAGATGTTATAAAAGAGACGAATATAACCATCACCAGATAGGAAGTGAATATATGTACACAACTCGCTACAAAGAAAAAAGAAGCCATGAATGAATCATCAAATATTTAAGTCATTGGTGGTGCATAAACTTACAACGCCAATAACAACAACAATGCAGACAAAAATACTCCGTAGAACCACCGTGGCTGAACCGCTGCACTTATTAAGAAACCATCGCCAAAACCTCCTATTGGTTCGTCCGGCGGCAGCTGTGCTGGTGGCGGCGGTGAAAGTACCGGAATATCACAACTCCCAAACGTCGCATTCACCCTGCAATACGCAATGTTCGGACATCCACACGTCATATGACCATTCGCTTGATCAACGGCTTCCGCTGCTCCTCCGCCGTCACTCCTCTGGTAAAAGTCAACCGCGATATAATTCGGCCACCGTCCGCCTGCTGCTTGTTGGCATGTGTTCATCATCGAGATCAGTGGAGCGGAGTTATCGATACAAGCTCCGGTTACATTAGGGTTAGTGGAAAAGTAGTTTTGAAGAACCAACGCTCGGGATGTTGTGTTCATTGCAGAAGATTCAGATCGATTAGGGCATGAACCAGCAATCTGACCCTCGTTTCCATCTAACACCCAATTAGGGTTTGAAAAACTTCGATCAATCTTCTATGAAAAAAACAGATACCAAGCACAATAACAATGATATTGATCTAAACTTACATTGGTTTTCTACGACGTATGTCCATTCATATGCGAAACCTTCAGATGCTTCTTTTGTAGATTTGGAGGTGAAGACAATCAGGCGCTGATTCCGGGAGATCATATCGGTGATTATTGGCCATTCGCCACCTTCTTTGGGCATTCGATTAAAAGGAAACATGTATTTACTAAGCCCGGATGCATTAAACACCTTCGTCAATCCATCTTCTGATGTCACATAATCCTCGATGAAAATGGTGATGATTTCACTTGGATTTTCCTCTAAAAACTTTTGAATCTCTCTTAGCACATTGATGGCTGGTTGCTAACAGTAAAAGAACAACGATGAAGAAGCTGAAGCTAGCTACTACGTACATGATTCATGAATCATACAAACGCTAGAAAGAGGAAGATTTGCTTACATATGCTGTGATATTGTAGCACTTTCCCCCAAAGGAATGGCACATCCAGATATCTTCGTTGAAGTCATACATATCCAACATTAATCCTCGAACTCCATTCTACGTAGACGAATAGCACATCGAAATGAATGAAGAAGATAAGTTTTATACGGAATTCGCTTTAAAATCTTACTCACGTGTAACTGAGAGGCGACATCATCTTCCTGATTGGCGGGACCAAGAACAGGGGAACCGGTAGGTGATGTTGAACCGGAAAGCGCAAATGAATTATGAGTCGTCAGCCATGAATACCGATTAAACGGAAGCCCATTCACCTGTTCCAAAATTAAAAAAGTCACGCAAAAACCCTAGAAAAACAATCGGATTTGAAACTCTGCTCATCTTCATTCTTCACCAAATACGGATTTAACAAACAGAGAAATTAGCTTCCAGACCTTCGAAGTAGGATTGATTGGATGGATTCGAGTGCATCTAGGGCGGGTATTGCCACTAGCAGGGCACGTTCCACACCGCAACCCGTCGTCGCATTTGTCGTCGTCCATGGAACATGTTTCTCCGATCTGGTTCCCAATTGTGGAGGGATTAGCGCCATAAATGAATTCGGGAAATTAAAAAATGAAGAGAAGAATCGAAACAGACCTTTAGAGACGTTGAGAATTGGAATATACAAAGTATGGTGATGACGAGGATAATATTGTGATGATCGAATTGCGGCATTTGGAGCCTTCTTCTTCGGCAAGAATCTTGATTACAGACGGAGAGAGAGAAGCGGGGCGGTTATATAGTTTGGAATTAGTTTTGAAAAATTCATATTTCGGCATCTTGACTTTTACGTGAGTTTGGTTTGACTCTTGTTGGATTCTTTAACGAGGAAAATTGATATGTAAAATAAAAGGACCTCCATCTTTTAAATAGTTCCAACTTCCAAATTTAGTCTCTTCTATATTATAAGAAGTTTATTTTAGGGTGTTTGATATAGTTGATTGAATTAAATATAATTAACGGGTTGATTCGGTCCGATATAACTTTAAATATGATTTAGTTAGACGTAACCGTTAGACGTGTAAAACCCAACAAATAATAGGGGTACAATGAACTCCAAATACATTGCTTTAAAGCACTAAAAAGTAGTACAAGACAAACAAGGTTGAACCACAGAGACACGAGATAAAAATTTATACTTCTTTGCGCAAGGTACTTTGGTCTCAAAGGGGGTTTTGTTTGCAAATATAAAATAATTAAATAACAATCTATTTTAAAAGTATGCACAAAATCAAACAAACTTTTAAATAATTTGATTGAATGGTTCTAGTTCTAGTTCACAACGTTGTTCAACTTAATTATGACTTGATGTAATTCATGGTTCCTATTCTAAGTTGGTACTGAAAGATATTAACACGTTCAAATAACTCTCGTTTGCCAAATTATCTAACCAAAACACGCTCTTTTACTAAACCTAGCTTTATTAATTTAACCTAAACACGCTCTTAGATTGTATTAAGAAAACTGCATTAAGTTTTGTACAAGCTTCCCAACAATGTTGCCTTACCTCTTTGAGATTGAGGATTCAAGTCATGTTGTGAACATATAGGTGGATTTAAAGTGTAGTTTAGGAGTAGGTTATATTTGTCATTTCAAAAAAAAAATCCCAACAATTTTCATTTCTTCTCATATGCTCGAAAGTGTGAAAACATGTGATATATGTTTTACAATAAGAAAACTTATTGTTTGTTACCAATTATTAACTTTGTAAAACGATTAGGTTCCCTAAAAGTTAGTTAACTACACAAAAATTCAATTCATGAAAGTGGTCAATCAAACACAAATCAAATTCAAGAGATTCTAGTTTAAACAAAAACATAATCACTAGAATAAAATCACAAATCAAACATCAAATCATATGCTTCAAGTCAAGCAAACAACATATTTTGAACAAGAACTCAAAATTAGGGTTTCTTAGCCACACATGGCTAAGAAAAACTTAATAAAAAAGAAAGATGAAATTGGAAATGTTTAATGCTTACAAAATGAAGTCAAAAGTGTTTGCAATGATTAGTAACCTTCAAGAATTCCAAAAAATTCTCCCAAAATCGCCAGAGAAAGCTCCAAAAACCAATTCTCTATAAAAATGACGTCTTCCCTTATTTTATTAAGTGCTTACGTGCTTGCCATAAGACCATGTGTTTTTAGCATGGTCATGCCTTTTGCCCATGTGTTTTTGGTATTGCCATTTGTCTTGACCATTTGTTTTTGGCATGACCCATGCTTTTTGCTAAAAGTCCAATAAGTCTTCACTGTTGGCTCCATCTTTAGTCTAGCTTCACCATGAGTAATGTTGCTCAAATATAAGATAAGAAAGGACAAACATGCCCGTGTCGGTGTGACATGAACCGTGTTTCAAACGTAGTCCTTTATTATGATGATAATGCAACAAAGACCCGGGTTATGTCTTCATGTTTTCTTCCATGGCATGACCGATCCATCTTCTCTTCATGTTCCAAAGCTCCAAGCTCCATGTTCCATGCTCCAAGATCCAAGTTACAAGTTCTAAGTTCCAAGTTCCATGCTCCATGCTCCAAGCTCCATAATGCCTGCAAAATAAATCAAAAATAGTGAAGTACCAGACATTCTTAATGAAATATGCAACTGACCATATGATTAACTAAATTGTAATGCTTGTTCCAAGTATCATTTTTTTTAAAAGTTGTTAGGGTTTTGCATTGGGACTCGACGAGTTGGGGAACCCAACTCAAATCGATATTGGATGCGGGACTTAGCGTCTACTCGACGAGTTGGAAGGCCCCAACTCGACGAGTAGGCACTGTAAAGGAAAACCCTAATTTTCTGGGTTTCGTACCCTATTTAAAGAACTTAACCATTAAGCTTTGCCTCCTAATCAACCTCCTTACTCAGAGAAACCATATAACCGCTTCCCCTCTTGTTCATTGAAGTTTTAAGTGTTGTGGTGTGATTTTTGAAGGAAGTATTGAATAGAGAAGTAGCAATTTTGGATGAGTGATCTTGGATCCAGAAACTCTACATCAAGGGCTTCATTCTGAAGGTATAAAGCCATAACCTTGCCATGTAGTGTTTTAGATCTCATCTTTTGGTAGTTTAGGGTTTGTTTTGGAACTTTGGGTTGGATGTCCCAAGATAAGAGGCTTCAGAGGTAAGGAGTGTAGATTTGACCTCTATAAGACCTCTAGAGGATTAAAGTTGCAATCTTTAATAGCCTGCATGTCCCATTCATGCATTATGTCCACAATTAAGGCTAAAATGGATATTGGGGAGTATTTCACGCATGCATGGATGTAAATTTAGAAGCTTTACGTGATTTGTCCACCCTTGGATATCAGATCTGTGTTTTGGGTCGATGGGATGAGAGTTTAAAGGCTTAATGGGTCAATACCTTCCTCAAAGGAGTTAGGGTTTGAGTTTAAGGCTTATTAGATGGTCTTTAGGGGTAAAGTTGGAAACTTTACTCTTATAGACGTCTCTAGGGTTATGTATTTGTGGTATGGAGTTTTGGATTCGACTAAAAGGACCGATTATGTTAAGACAAGGGAAGACTCAACGAGTTACCCTGACAACTCGGCGAGTTGCATTGGGTTTTCCCATTTTCGGTCTGTAGAGTAAACTTGGGCGAGTTGGTAAGATAACTCGACGAGTTAGATCAGATTTTCCCGCTTTCGGTCTAACGAGTAACTCGGCGAGTTGATGAGATAACTCGACGAGTTGGTTAGGGTTTTCCCTGGTTATTCTGAACACCGAAGGGACTCGACGAGTTGCTAGATGCACTTGATAAGTTAGGTTAACATGGATTGTTAACCTTGATTGTTGACCATGATTGACTAAGTTTGACTTTGAGTGTATATTTGGTATTTCGGAACTTTGACAAAACTAGTCACATGATGATTGTAGGAGGTTAAGTTGGAGCTGCACGTTGGGACTTATTTAATCTTATCTTATCAGTTCAACATTCTTGAGAGGTGAGTCTCTTTACCATACCAATGGGTCGAAGGCACCAAGGCCGACCCATTAATTTTTATGTGATATATTTGTTGATTATGTGGCACATGGTATGCTAATTGTATTTGTGATACATGCATGGAAGACCTTAGGGGTTCCCAAGGCACTTAGGTGTAAAACCTTGGAGGGTTTCCATGACATCCTAGGTAAAGACCTCGGGGGGGGGGGGGTCCCAAGGGGGTATAAGAACCTAGAGGGTTTCTAGGGAATCCTCAGTTAAGACCTCAGAGGTTCCCGAGGCAATGGGCTAAGACCATGTGGGGGTTCCCATGGTACCCGGAGTAAGACACTGGAGGGTTTCCAGGGAATCCTTATATGTTTGTGTGCATAACTTATGTATCTTATAAAGCTAATATGGATTATGTGATTGTGTGGAGTGTGTGGGGTATGCTCTGGGAGATCACTAAGCATTAGCTTAAAGTTTGATTGATTTGTTTCAGGTACATCTGAGCCTAACGTCAAGAGCAAGGCTTGATGGCACGACATGTAATCTTCGACATTTGATTTGGTGGGACACTCTGATATTTGAAATAAAATGTTGATGTCATGTATTTCGAAAACAATTATCATGGTTATTTCATACTTTATGGGAATGTTTGGCTAATTAAAAATGAAAAATTTTATTTGAAAATTTGGGTCGTTACATAAATGTAAGAATTATGAAGTAGAATGCTATGAAAGGACAAAAATAAACATGCAAAATAGGTGCATAAAATACACCGATCAGTAACTTTGAATTCAATTTGATTAAATGGTAGCTTGATTGAATCAGACGTAACCTTAGATATGATCACGACAAAGTCAAATGCTTCTAAATATGATTATAACAGTCTTGAATTAATCGAATTAAAGCCAACTTATTACTTAGGGTGGCAACCGTGTTGTGTTCGGTCTAAAAAAACTCAACCCAAACACAACTCATATAAATATTTGTGTCAACTTGCACAACACTAGCCCATATTATCCATAAATGGTTCAACCTGTGTACCTTGTTTAATTATACGAGTTTGTGAGTTAGTGGGTCGAATTCAAGGTTGTAGGTTAGATTTGGGTTCATGGGTCACATGAAAAAAATTAAATATCAGATATTTACTTTTTTTTTGAACAACTACAATTTCATATACGTGAAAACAATTCTAGCAAAGAGCTAGAAAAGAAAAAAGCACAAATTACAAAGGGTTTAAAAGTCAAGCATTCCAAACTACACTGGAGTTGGAAGCTCAGTTATGCAACCAAGAAAAAGAACTTAAAATGATATAATTAAAAATATAAATCTTTTTCAGTGGATTTTCTGTAAACACCACAAAATTCCTGAACCGCCAAATAGTCCAACATGTCGAAATGACAACCACTTCCAAACACCTTTTCATTAAGTTGTGGGAGATTATTGTCATCAATCCAAAACATCTATTCCTTTATAGACGAAGAAGTAGAAAATGTCAGCCCACACCATCTCGTGATTACCCCCTACGTTGCAACAACCACTTTGCAATGAAAAAATATATGTTGAATAGACTCTACACCAATAGCACAAACCAGACAACTTTTTAGTCCTTAATCTTATATATATATATATATATATATATATATATATATATATATATATATATATATATATATATATAATTAAGGACTAATAAGTTGTCTGGTTTATGCTTTTGGTGTAGAGTCTATTCTATATATATATATATATATATATATATATATATATATATATATATATATATAGAGAGAGAGAGAGAGAGAGAGAGAGAGAGAGA